CCAATGCCGTGGCACTTCTGATCCAGACTAAATAAGGACAAAAACCCCTCCTCCCTTTGGGAAGGTGGAGTTGGGATGATAATCAGGGAATGCGACCCCAGACCCTTCCCTCCCCAATGAATATTCCGCCCATTCACTTTTACACCCTGTGTAACTAACTTGCCAAAGAAACTCAGGGCAGCCACTCACCTGGGCCTGCCCGCTCTCCCCTTGAGTGTGCTAACCATCCTTTAATAAATCCTCACTTTACTTTTCTTAGCCTCTACATCTTGTCTCTGAATTCTTTCTGGGACAGGACAAGAACCTGGAGCACCGCTTGCCTCCACCGGCAACAAAACCACCTAATCTCCAGCAACAAACCCACTGAGAGGAGACATCAGGGGTGAGCTATTCTTGCTACTTAGCAGGATTCGTGCTGAAGGCAGGCCAGGCTGGTCAGTGGGGGATGACTTAGCAGGATTCTTTGCTAAGATGGGCTGAGGCAGGCTAAGGACGGGCCCCGAGGAAAGGCCTAGTAGAGCAGAGGGCTCAGAGGAGCCTGTCAAAAGTTCGGGCAAGGAGAGTCATGGACAGAACTGAAGTTATCAGACAGGAGGAAGTGCGGAAAAGGCTGCCCTTATCTTCAGGCAGGAGATGGATGATGGGGTGGCGTATGTAAGTTGCAAACTATTTTTAAAGTGGTGGCAGGTGTCAGGGAGTGGGGGCTGGGTGGGGAAGGCAGGTGTGAGAAGGCCCTCATGGAGTGAAAATGCTGCCCAGCTAGACTGAGATTATCGAGGACACATAAAGCCGATTAGCAGACGCCAGAGCCCTAGGCACCCTTTGATGCCCTGGAAGGAAGTGGGCGATGAACTGATGTCGGATGTCCCAGCCGGGGTTAGGAGTCCTCCTAATCCTGTGTCCAGGACTCCACTGGTGGCTGTTCCTGTGCTCAGCAGAGGACAATGTATAGGAGACTTGGCTCCAGAAGAGGCAAGGAGAGGGTCCTGGGCTTCCTTCTGCCTCTCATGGCACCAGCAGCCCCCTCCCACCTTACGGATCAGCCAGTGGGATGCAGTCAGAGGCAAATGACACAAGATCATGCTTCAGGAAGGGCCCTGGGGAGTTCCTTCCAAGACTGGTTGAGACCATGCATTAGATTCAGAGCTGCAGAATGAGCTGAGCTGCGTCCCTGTGACAGGGCTCTTAGGGCAAGGTCCCCTGCTTACACACACACACACACACACAGATGCTCAGAGGGGCCACAGAAGGAGGGTCCCTTGGAGAGGAGGGGTGCTGGCCTGCTACTCTCCCCAGGATCTCACCTCCCTGGAGGGCTGTCCCCGCCTCACCATGGTACCCGGGTGGGGCCATTCTCCCAGGAAGGCGCATGCCCCCCTCCCCCAGCACTCTGAGGGTATACAGTATTTCTGCAAATAATCGGGGATTTCTCGGTGGGCAGGTGGCACCATCACTAAAGGAATGTTCTCTACTTTGCTCATGCTGTGATAAAAGAAGAAAAGCCGAACAGATCAAGATGCAGACTTGATGATATTTAGAGTTTAGCTACCTTCATCTTATTTCTGAGTTTTAAGAAAAGTCAGGCACCTCCACAAGCAAGACGTACAGTGCTCATAGTGCCTCTCTTTTTTTCTCTCCGATTCGCCTATAAATTCCCGAGTCTTCCAAGAGGACGGGGAACCAGGGCTTTGGCAGCGCGCTTCCTGGAGCAGCATCAGTCCTCCAGCAGAAATCCCCCTTAGCCCTGGCTCTGCCAAGCGCATTTACACGACCAATCCGGCAGGCTGGGCTAGCAGTG